ATTTATCAATAAGTCTAATGTACTTTTGAAAACATTTTACAAATACTTGATTTGAGCTTTTAAAAATAATTATGGGTTTAGGCCTAATTTCCTTGTTAAATTTTGTTGTGTTAATCATTTAAGTGCGCCTCCAAGTGATTCTCTAATTACAAAAATGATTTTTATTTTAGAGAGTTAATGCTTAAAAATGAGTTTGAATACTTTATATTTGAACTTTTTAGAATTGAAAGTGCGTTTGACCCTCCAAATTTAGATAATCAAACTTACTCTCTATTCTTAATGTACAATGATTGCATATAATAAATTATATATTCAATATTATACTTCTTAAACTATTTAATTCATATTTAAATTGATTGGTCAATTGCCACATAAAAAATATGTTACATAAAATATAAAAAGAAATCAATAAACATTTCTCGAGAAACGCAAAATGAAGAGCCAAAATAAAGAAGTAATGCTATGTGACCCCACCGAAATTACAATTTCAATCTAGGTGGCGCTAAATGACAGGAGAAATGAAATGTGTAATTAAATAAGTAATTTAATTTCACTTATCATTTAATGCAACATTAGCGCCACCTAGACTGATATTACAATCTCAGTGTAGCTATAAATAAAGAATTTCTAGAAAGTACTCTTATGCGATGTATCACATTTAATTACATTCTTTCTTTTACACGTTTTAAATTGTGAATCATAATCTTCTCACACTGCTCTACACGAACCAATTCATCGTTTTCTTTTAAAGCGATCTTAGTTCGTTACGATACCTCACACATTGCACAACCTAAAACAAAGCATTAGAAGTCAACTTACTATAAAGAAGATAAGCAATAATTCAAATTCCTGGTAATAATTATAGTTTGTGATGGTGGTCGATCATTTTTGTGTCCCTCGGCGTGAGAATAACGTCCAACACTTTCGCTTTCCGTAGAAGTTATACAGTGAACATTTCCATCGAAATGCTGGTAAATGTGCTGATTATCACTCCTAATGCACCCCATGCGGGATTATTTATATACCTTTTATCCTCATAGTTTTCTTCTTGTCATCATTCCACTTTTTAGATTTTGTCAATCTTTATTTTACACCATTTTCAATTAATATTTTATGCGTTGGAATTATCTCTTGTTCTTCTAAGACATTTTTGCTTTTAAAAAATAAGTATTGTCACGTCTTAGATAATATTGTACATAAAATAATATTTAAGTTTCTTTAATATTATTTGGTGCAATTCAGTAAAACATGCCATTGGGACCGAATTTTGTCAAGAAATCTATTCAAATATTAACAAACTCGACACCCTAAACTTTATGTATCTTATTGTTTTAGGGTCGTGTCACTCGCTAAATATTTTTTACAATCATGCTAACATTTTGGATGACAACTTTGTTGCCAGAAGGTTCACGATGTCAGAATTTCATTAGACGATTTTAAAAAAAATCAACCAAGACATCCAATTTTTTTACACATCTTCTTCTGTTATTCTATTTTTTATGAATGAATGGTACAGAGCCTATTGACAATATGGTCATACTGCAAAAATCTTGAGAATTGTCACTAAAAGCAAAACAATATGAACGTAGTATACATAATATCGAAAAGTTGTTTTCGTAAAGTTTCCCGTATGATTCTCAATTGTCCAAGGCTAAGAAATCCATTCGCATCTTGCATTGGTATTTATTATATGATCAAAATATAAATTATTTAACATTTGACACAAAAAATCTAAAGAGGTCATTTAAAGGACAGATGACATTTGAAATTTGTTTAGTACTGTCCAGCCAAATCACATGGTCACCGTAGAAGTAGTAAGAAACACATTGATTTTCTGTCCAGGACGCAAATAATAATGTCTCCTCCAATCATTTAACATGTGCGTGGTATTTGACAGTTTTTTTTTTAAAAAAAAACAACGTTAAAATAGTCAATACAGTATTGCCACCTCATCTGTACATTTTATCTGTACAAAGAGTTTAATTCTATCTCCTCAATCCCAAGGTCCAACTCCACAGTCATGTTGTACTCATGTCAACATTTTCGAAAAAAACACTGCTAGACACCATTGTTCATTTTGCCCTCGTTTGATAATCATTTAAATTCAGATTTAAATTTAAATAAAAATCAATGATCGATTTTAATTACATATTTAATGGGTTTCATAACTTTTCAATTATATATTTCATTAAATTTTATTAAAAATCTGATTTTAATCATCCACCAAATAAAATAAGTGTTTAACCTTATTGATTCTTTGTGGAAGAAAATTTTTATCTATTTATTTATCCAAAATTCATTCCACTAAGTGATACAGAAAATGTCAAATCAACCCCATCCCTGCTCGCACTCGCAGTAACATGGCGAATACTCGCATCTCGTAACCTCGATATTTAAATTGCATTTCGTACAGGATTTGAGTCGTGTTTGGTAAACCACTTTTAATTACGGTGATCATTAATTTTCATTTTGACTTTAAGAAGAATCGTTGTTGAAATTTCTTTGAAGCGTGTTTTTGTTTTCTAAATTAAACGCGGTTTACATCACCTAAAACATACAATTTAAATGAAGTTATTTAGTGATGTCAAATGTCTGATATGATATGCCACGTACGCATTTTTGTTTGTCACATGAATTGTTTCATTAAGTATGACAGATAAAAGTTAATTCATATATGATTTTGATACGAATGGTGAAGCTCATGTACCATTTATGTAATTAACATGCCAAGTATCGACCAAGTTACTATCACATAAGTACTTCGTTTGCCACGTGGGTTGTTGCTTTAGTTCTAAGTGACGAAAGTTAATTTTTTGTATAGATGGAATACATAATTAATTCATTTATGATTTTGATAACATCATGTACGATTTTGGTAAATGAAATAAAGCCCTAAAATAAGGACCATAATAGCAATATTCATTTATAATAAGGACCGTAATCATTAATTCATTCATTTATGATTTTGATAACATCATGTACGATTGAGGACCATAATAGCAATATTCCCAATAAAATATTAGGAAACCCTTTAAATTTCCACGGTGGTCCTACTTGTCAAATTTTGTAACCCTAATGACCAAATAATTGTTCCCACTTTCGAATACAATCGATTGAGTAGACCTTTTACTTTTTTTTTTGGATGAATATCCTTATATCCAAACTCGATGGATTTTATAAAATAGTGCTATTTAGTATCAGTAGTATTAGAATATCATTTTAGATGATCACACTCGATATGTTCAATTAAATGAATCATATTAAATTGTATTTAAGTGAATCTATTATTTAATAACATGTAATTGCCATTTAAGCCCATGTTTGGTGGCCATTATTTTCAAGAAAAATTATGTTTGAATAATAATTTTTAGGAGAATGCGTGATTAAAAAGTAGAGAAAAATTTTAGGTTTGCGTGTAGCATGTTTTATTATGTGAATGGGTTGTTAAAAATGAGTATGTAGAAAAAAAAGTTTGAAAATAATAATAGTCAAACACGGGCTAAATTCATATTTGATATTAACCCCTGTTTGGTAGAAATTTTAATCTAAATTAAAATAAACAACTCATTTTAACCAGACATTTTATAGGATCAACAACCTTTCAACCACAGATTTCATCAATTTTTATTAAGGCCCTGTTTGGAAGGGATTAGATTTTTCTACAGTAAATTAATTTTCATTTTCAACTACACATTCTTCAATAAAATAATATTTTCCCTCACATCAATAATTTTTTCTTCTTTTTCAACCACACATTTCCCATCATTTCATTATTCAAAATCAATTCTTTCCCAAAAAATCTCTCCGAAACAAGTTCTGAATCCTACTAAAATTTTGATTTTGATATCCCTCAATCGGGCTTAGTAGTGCTGAACGGGCTTAGTAGTGCTGAATATCCTTACTTATTTTATAAATACAGCTTTTATTCTCAAGATTTTAAATCAGTCGGCCACTTGACTTTCCTGTTTATTTTGCCTTTATCGATCGCTTTGAATGGCCAACCCACGCCACCATCATTGCACAAATCCCCACAGGCCATACCACAAGCAACTGTACTCACTACCACACCATATTCCGTATTGATGTAATGTCTTTGCCAACACTCACACGACACTACCATAGTATGTATACATCAGTCAAAATCAAACATTATTCTTCTCTCTGATTTTAAACTCAAAAACACACACAAACGCACTGACAATCTACAGTATGATTTAGCTCTTACATTTTATTAATTTTTATCAAAATTTACTTAAAATTTAATTTAACCCCTATTTTATAGAGATTAAAATAAAAATTTTAATATATTTTAATAAAAGTTATTCGGATCTATAGTTAAAAAGTTATGAATCAAATTTCATTCGTGATTAAAACTAATTGTTGATTTTAACTTCAATTTTAATCAAATTTTTTAACGATATCAAACAAGGGCTTAATGTAAATGAAACTCTAGAATACGGTTAGTATACACTAACGAAATTTTTGAAGTAGATTATTTTGTAAAAAGTGATTTTTTTTTAATATTGTATAATTAAAAAGTAAGGAAAAAATGATTTACATGCAAAATTACCATTTTGGGATAATGAATTTGAAGAAAAATGAGTTTTATTAATTATGTACCAAACAAGGACTAAACATCACAATTGTACAAAAATCACTCATGTTTCATAAGTGTTTATAAATAGTTTTATTTATGAGAATATTAGACCATACTTTCTTAATACAATATTACAAGTAATTATTACTAAACAAAATTGAACATCACTACTCACAAAAATTTATCTTTTTTTCTTTTTTATAAAGATCCCTTCTAACATAGATTTTCACAATTTTCATTTGCATTTGCATGATCAGTCAGTCAGCCAGTCAGCAGTCCAATTATTCTTCACTTGTCTGAATTCTGAGTTCTGACCACTCCACAAACAAACACCAACAAGAAAACAGAACCCATTGCTCAATTATTTCACTTCGTTTTTCTTATTTTTTTGGCATAATCACTTATGGAGGAAAGGCCAGAGACTGAACTAATATCAATACCTGCCACCCCACGCGCGTCGACGCCGGAGATACTGACACCTTCCGGTCAGAGGTCGCCGAGGAAGGAATCCAGCACGGCCAAGTCATGGACTCCCACTTCGTTCATTTCGCCGAGGTTCTTGAGCCCCATCGGGACACCCATGAAGAGGGTTTTGACTAACATGAAGGGGTATTTAGAGGAGGTGGGGCATTTGACGAAGCTGAATCCGCAGGATGCTTGGCTTCCCATTACGGAATCACGCAATGGGAATGCACATTATGCGGCTTTTCATAATCTGAATGCAGGTGTGGGATTTCAGGCCTTGGTCCTGCCTGTTGCTTTCTCTTTTCTTGGATGGTATGATACTCAAAACTTGATTTAAATTAGAGATTTCAAATATTATTCTAGATTGTTTAGGAGCTAAGAACTGATAAGACTTTTTCAAGATGGCCTTAGTTTTGTTATGTTCTTTTGTTACTTTCAGTTCAAATTCAGAAGCTATTTTTTTGGTTCAAAATAATTTCAAGATTTCATTTATGGGTCTTATTTCTTGATTTCTAACTGGTACTAGCATTTACTGTTCATTGTAGTCTAATAGGAGAAGGTAAAGACTGTTTCTTGATACCAGTTATTTTCTTTTCCTTGGTAAACAGATTTAAGATTTGACAAGTTTATGCATGGTGTACCCTTTTGTGCTGTCAATTCTAGACTAAGAAAGAGGATTATTTCTAATTTGCCAGTTAGTAATTTATGTTTTACAGATTTTTTAATCATCAAAAAAGCAAAAAAACTGCACCTTTGTGATGTGAAGCTGAATTGGAATGAAACTTTATCATTCTAGTCAAAGGCCACGTGACTTGTAGTCTGAACACACTAATTTATATAAAGAAAGTTTATCTCCTGTTTACGAACTGTAATAGAGATAAGTTTGTTACATCTTCAACTTTATATAGCCATTAAAATGCCCTTTTTTATGACTGATTTTAACCCTTTTATTATGTTGGGAGTAATATGTTTGGCCAAAGAGAACAATTTGTTCTAATTTACCAATAAATAAAGTTTGATTAAAAATTCTGATGGTCTTGTGGGTCTGCAGGTGACATTCTTTTTCTCTTTTGCTGATTCCTTTTCCTTACTCTTTCCTAATGTCATCATTCATTTGATTTAAACGAAAAATAAGAAAGATCCTCCTTTCACCTTTTGCATTTTCCATTCTTTTTTTGTTATTATATATATAAATCTCCACTTATAATGGACCCTAATTCGATAATTATTTTTCCAAGTATCAAGACAGTTGGCTATTGCTTTACACTTTGAGTCCAACCTGGGCTTCATTTCCATTTCATGATAATCATTTTCCCTTCCCATGGGTTAAATTCATCGATGGTCACCCAATTTGATTTTTGTTTCACCATGACCAGTAAACTTTATACAGAGTATCAACGTTGCAACCCAATTTGATTTTATTTCACTATGACCTCCAAAATTCATATAATGTTTTACCATGGCCACCCAATTTTTTTTAACCATTTTCACTAATTTTAAAAGGGGTAAAATGGTAAATTAGCATTGTATATATAAAATAAAATTTAAAAAAAATAAAAGTTTTTTTTTAAAATTAAGTTTTTATTTTATTTTTTAAGGAATGTTTTCTTAAAATTATTTTTTATTTTATTTTATTTTTCTAAGTAACGTTTTTTTAAAATAAGTTTTTATTTTATTTTATGTTTTGAATAATTGGGTGGCTATGATAACTCTAAGTATAAAGTTATGCAATCATTGGTGGATTTAAACCGTCTTCCCATTGATGCTAATTATATCCATTTGGCACCATCCATTCCCGGCCATCCCCGTTGGGCTCCATTTTCATTAAATTACATTTCTCTTTTTGTTTTTCAACGACACATTTTTCAATAAAATAATATTACACGTAAACCAAAAATGGGCGTATATGTTATCTTCAAAACTTAAGACCATTGTCTACATGGTGCACTAACTCGGCTAAAAGTTTAAGCAAATAGAGAGGACAAAGAATTTATTTATTTCTCTTATCTTTAACAAAGTTCTTAAATAAGGCCAATCTTCCTGTTAGCAATCATTTATTTATTTTTTTAATAAATGATCACATCTGACATACTACTGAGGGATTCAACTAGTAATTTACTTTTGTTACGTATTTGCATTTGGTAATTTTTGGGCTACTTATTTTTAGTGAAACTTATGAGATGATGGAAGATCTCGATATCAACTTCTTATCCTCGATACAACTATCTATGTTCAACCGATAATTATTTTTCAATATGATAAGTAAGATGAGTATCCTCTCTTATTTTCCATGAATCCAAAATATTTAAGCAATAAAACGAAATTTGACTAGGATGATTTTTCAGTTCTTGTTATTTTCTGATGCAGGAGTTGGGGAATAATTTCTTTAATTATAGCCTACATCTGGCAACTATACACCCTATGGATTCTAGTTCAGCTACATGAAGCAGTTCCTGGGAAGAGATACAATAGATACATTGAACTAGCTGAAGCAGCCTTTGGTGAGTTCCGAATATAAATGACAATAGCATTAAACATAATGTCCATATATATGTTTATTTTAGCCTTCCAAGCATCGTATAAACTTATAGCTTTGCATATTTCATGGATTCTTGTGATGAGAAATCCAATTGGAAATGTTACGCGAAAATAAACCTAATGTTCATGGATATGAATAAGTGGAACGAAGATGACATGACAGACAAAGGTTTAGCAGATAATTGTACTATTCTCTTGTATTATGCCATCCAAAGAATCCGGTGTTTTTATCGAAAGAGCCTATATAGTTTTACTTGGGAAAATAGGACAAGTTTTTCCCAATTGTTCACTTGGGGAAATCGAAATTCAATAGAAAAATGTGTGTTACCCCCAAAACTACAACCTTGGGACACTTTTCTCATTGTTATCCAGCATTAATATTACATAGATTTTTGAGTATGCAAAGATCAAAGAATATTTACCGTTACATCTTGTAATCAGGGGAACGATTGGGCGTCTGGCTTGCTCTTTTCCCCACTGTTTACCTATCAGCAGGGACTGCAACAGCTTTGATTCTCGTGGGAGGGGAGACCATGAAACTATTCTTTCAGATAGTTTGTGGTCCACTCTGTTCATCAAATCCTCTGACGACTGTTGAGTGGTATTTGGTATTTACGTCCTTGTGCATTGTACTATCCCAGCTTCCGAACCTCAATTCAATTGCCGGACTCTCGCTGGTAGGGGCGGTGACTGCCATCACGTACTCGACCATGGTGTGGTTGCTCTCTGTAAGCCAACCTAGACCACCCACAATTTCATATCAACCCCTTTCACTGCCCACGGCAACAGCTTCTGTGTTCTCCGTCTTGAATGCACTTGGTATCATAGCATTTGCATTCAGAGGCCACAATTTAGTCCTCGAAATTCAGGTTCTCTC